AAAAATGAGCATGACAAGAATCAAGAATGAGTTTTCGGACACCGCCCACCTTGCCTCGCTTTCCAGTACTGTATGCGCCAAAAACACCCGTATAATCTGGTAGACTTCAGTGGAAGTTCAGATGCGGTCGAAAGGGTTGAAAATCGCCCGCCCTCGCCAGCGTCGTCAGCTGATATTAGGGGTTACGATACGTCAGGGGTTATGATACACTAGGTGTTTTGACACATTAGGCGTTATGACACATTAGGAGTTGTGATACATTAGAGGTTATGGACGTTAGGCGTTATGATACGTTAGGCGCTATGAAACATTAGTGGTTATGATACACTAGGCGTTCCGATACATTAGGTATTGTGATATATTAGGGATTGCAATACATTAGGAGCTGTGAAACATTAGGTGGTTTGATACACTAGGCCTAATGATATATTAGGAGTAGTGACACATAAGGAGTTATGATATATTAAAGGTTATGAACATTAGGCCTTGTGATACGTTAGGAGTCACGAACATTAGGGGTTATGATACATTAGGAGTTATGATATATTAGAGGTCATGAACATTAGGCCTTGTGATACATTAGGCGTTTCGAACATCAGGTGTTGTGATACATTAGGGGTTACGAATACTAGGTGCTGCGATAATCCCCCATTGAATGGCGTCAGGAGCCTTCGAAGTTTATCTGGTAACCCCGCCCCGACGCTACTGCGGGACGCCTGGACAAGCCACAGCATTGTAAACCCATAGAAAAAGGTCTTTTCCGAGGCGACCAATGTGCAGATTGAGAGGGTGCAGACAGCTGAAATGCTTTCAGCATTAGGCGGAACGTGTGTTCTCTCGTACGCCACGTATGCCTTTGAAGCTCAGCGCCTTGGCTTTCAACTGCAAGTCATTTTGCGCGTGTGCTGCAACGCTTACCTAGGTGGCGTTACAAGTACCAACACCCGTTATATAGATGGCGCTTATGTTGTTCTTGGGCTTATACTCGTCCAGTTTTCCTACGTGCTAACATTCTGCGTCTCCGCGCGTTCTGCGTGTTGGAATACAGACTGTGCTTGCCGGGTTCGAAATATCCTGACATCGTGCATGCAAATACCTTGCCCCTATTTTGTTCGGTCACTGAGGCATATTCTTTGCTCATCCGCCTGTCATTCTAGTCTAAACGTCACATGACATTCGGTCCCGTATTGGTCACCTACGTGTGTGAGGCTGCTAAGTTTGACGTTGGTTTGAAAATTTGTTAGTCGTCTTGGCATGATTGACGCTTTAAGCTCTCTTGCATTCGCTGAATATTGGGCGCGTGACATCGGCATGCGACGTTTCGGACTCACCCTCAGCATTAGGTGAGGAGGTCGGTGGAAGAATAACTCGTCCCTGAATAACGACCATTCTTCCCATGAAATGCAGGCCATATGCAGAGAGCTTACAACCCCAAGCAAGCTAATAATTTCAGCGCATATGTTGCGATTTACCGGGATGTAAAGCACATGCAAAATAGAAACACGAGACAGATATGCAACACGATACCAGATACTGATACATTTACAAAATGCAGGAGGAGGAGCAAGCAGCAATAACACCAAAAGGGTCGTAGCAGTGCCCAAGCAAGGCGTCATGCTATCCGCATCGAGACAAGCGGAGATGCGCCGGAGCCTTTGCGTCCGGGCCAACGGATAGCACGATGTAGTCGGGAAGGCGTCACCTGCCGTCTACGCATCAGAACCACGTCTCCCGGCAACACGTTCACCGGCTCCAGGAAGCGTTCAGGGACGCGGAATCTGATCAGCCTGCCATCTCCATTCAACCAGAGGAATAGTGAGGAGCTTCTTCGGAATGCCTGAAACGGCCAATGCCGGTCACGTTAAATAACGTTAATTAACTATTTAATGTTAATTAACTATTGTTAATGTTAATTAACTATTGTACACGTTATGGGTATGGGTATGGGCATGGGTGCACGTTTATCAACTATTGTCGGCGCTTCTTTTAAAGCACTTTGACCCCATCTAACGAAATTTTGGTACCCAAGGCAGCATCTGTCATCTGTACTAACAGTTTGGTAGCATTTTACTTTGATTGCCCGAAAACACCAATGAACAACAAATACTCCATCAGAAGCATGGCCTAGCAGGGCGCTGAAAGGTTGGGCACTCTGGCATGGCTGACCCAGCCTAAAGCCAAATTTTCAGACGTCTGTCTAACTAGCAGCAGTTTTGTATCAAGTTGTATATCGATATTCAGGACTCTCACGATCTGGCTAAAAATTGCTAAGCTAATAATATGAAGCCTACGCGTTTCAAAACCTGAAAGCGTGAAGTGGGCATCCACAACTGCCCGAAACATTTTAGGTTGAGGTTCAGGGTCAATATGAGGGGGGGGGGGCGGACGAATTTTGATGAGTTCAAAGCGTGCACTCGTAGGCCAGTGCCCAATTTTTTCGAAACGTTGAGTTTGGGCATATATCTCGTGAAGTCCTGTTTGCTGAATTAAGCTTTTCGTAGGTTCAGATGCATTGACCGAGTTTTATTAGCCTGTCAACATCCAGCTTAATATTGGCAGCACGGAATTTCGACCGACGCTCCAGTCTAACTAATCTAACAGATGTGCTGCCAGCTTGACAGGCGTAGTTTTGGTGCTAAAAGCATTGGTTGGATCCTATATTTCGCAAACGTCCTGTCCATCCATAGACATATGAGCCCGGTTATTTGGCATTATCACCGGCACTTAAAATGCCCGGCGCTTGCCTATATTTTTGGCGTCTTGACGAGCGAGCAGGGTACGCCATTCATACGTCTGAACGTCGATTCAGAGCTCAACCCTCGCCCTGACTCCCCTTTTTCACAACATACACGGATAGGGGAAAAGCTACACAAACGTTTCAGCTGTTCGTTTCGAGCATATGACATCTAGTTTTGTGTGTTTTGAGCACATGTGTATAATGCAGGGCTCTTGTTACCGTAACAGGTGACGTGCCTGCCGCCGCCAACGTCGACTTTGTTGGTTGCCGCCCGCCGCTCGCGCCGGTCGAAGATTGCCATAAAAGATCACTCTCCAGAAGCCAAATGCTACGGATACATTTTTGTGTTCAAACGCGCGTAATGGATGCCCCAAATGCCACAGAAACTTGGGCACGATTGCGCAACAGGCTGAAAAGATATCCTCCAAAAACCGTAGGCAGGGAGAGGGCGCCTCGACAGTATTCTTCAGCCCATCAACCGTCTTATCAGGGGAGGCGTTGACATCGCCCATGTAAGTGTTTCCTTTGGCGTTGTTCATGTCAGGCTTGCTCGCAGGGTCCTTCGCGAGATGTAGCATTTGAAACTTAAAATCGCGTAAAGAGCCTTAATGCAATAAAATGCTTCGAACAAACCCCGGCCCTTAAAATGCTGAACAGGCGCTTTGTGTCGGCAGCCTCATGCCGCACTGCCCGACTTGTCTTGATGTCATTGAGAACTACTAATGAGGCGGTGTCCGCCGTATTCTTGTTACACGATGCACCACGACACGATTCTGTGCAGTAAATCTTTAGCGCTGTGAATCAGCTTTAACAGTACATTTACGCTTTAAACTTTATTTCGCAAACTTATGCGGTGCCATAGGATTGTGTGAACCCATGCCCGTAACCATGACAACGACAACAGCAATGGATTTTGTAGAGGTATCAGATTTGGCACGGCTGAAATACTAAGCATGCAACGGAAATGTCTACAAAATTGATCCGGTTTACTTACCTTATATATTTAAATAGCAAAAGTCAGTCAAGCAATTACAGCACACAATAAGGTCTTGGAGTGTATTGCGCAATTTTTCTTAGGAGGCCGTGTCTTTGAGGAAAGCTGCATTACCCCAGCAAACTAGCCTCTAAAGCGCCCGCGAGTACGTCACTGTTTACGAAATTCACATAACTTGTGGATCCAGCAACCATGGAACTGCATTGAACCCATTTGATTTAACCCATATTACCCATATTATATTAAATTATTACATAACCCATTGAACCCAATTATGATAGCATCCTAACGGTTACACCCTACTTGGGAACCTTATGTTGCACCTTTAAATCAAGCACTTCACTACCCTCATCATTCTGCAAGATGTACGGAAAGCCCAATCACGTTTACATATACATCACACAATTGCACGTCGCGTAGCCAGTACGGCCCCGTGACACGGATCGGCCGAAACTGGCCCGGTCAGACCAAGCAACCAGCGCGGTGGTTGGATGACCCAGCGGTCAGCAGCCGCGGCGGCGGCCAGCTACATCGTGCCTGTTAGGTACACACAGTCAAATGCAGACATGACTCGAACACAGGCATTTCTAAACGAACTTGCGACGCGACGAGGACGTCGTTTTCATCTGAGATCGAGTCAAGTACATCAGTCGCACAGCTTTCCACCTTTTTAAAACCCCCGAGATGCGTTTTAATTATGATGTAACTATCTTGCAGTTGAATTAAAAGTGTGCACTACGTTTATTGGAAAAGTATGAACGCAAATAACTTAGCTTTGTCGCAGACAAAATAGGCATCGAAAAGCCGGCATGGCATTCTTCGTAGAGAAAAAAGAATTCAGCCAGGATTGAGTACGTTAGCAATTCAGTAACATCACAAATCCGTATTAGGTAAGAAAAAGGTGTCCTTCGCATGACGAAAGGATCGCCGTGAAAATGTACGTGGGTGAAATGGCTGAAAAGAGGCATGCTTGGTGATTTGCGAAATATTTTTGGGAATGGGAAAGCGGAGCTTTTTATATGAGCAAGGCATTTGAGCCCATCAGACCTAGAGCCTTCTAGTTTCTGAGCTACACGCCCCCGGAGAAATGCTGCATATTTCAGTTATTCGGGTGTGCATCACGCCATACCAACGTCGTTCAAATTCTGCCACCCCCTCCCCCCCCCCACACACACACAGGCTACGCGGCGTTCAAGATGACGAAGAATGTATTTGTCGAGCCGTCCAGACCTAACTATTCTCTGGCTGCCAAGTTCGGCCGCTGGCGTCCACTTAACCGGCTGTCAGCTGCACCGGTTCCACAGGCTGTCTTCTTCACCAGCTCCATCGGGTCCACTAGTTCCACCGTGTCCAGCCGCTCTACCGGATCTACCGGCTATTGGCACCACCCTCGGGTGAGTTTATGGAGGAGAAGATAGTAGTGCGGACGGCGGCAATGCCGTCCGATACAAGGTGCAGCAGCCATGCCTTTACTCTTCGGTTCAGGGTGAACCCGAGAAAGATAAAGACTCCTCGTAGGGCGTGTAGCAGGCTGGTGACGTAGGTCAGTTCTGCGATTTTCATGATTTGAGATGTGATATCAACGGTCCAGGTCAGCCCCATGAGCACCGCCAGCCGGCAGTAGAGGCCCAGGTGCGTCTGAAATGGTAAATGAAATGGTAGAAAAAACGAAATAGACTTTGAATCCCCGGGGAAGGGTCCAAAGCCTAGTATAAAATATGACAGCAACGGCACACATCTCATTCATTTTAACCTTTACATTAAATGTCCCTTTCAAGCCCGCGGCTATCTTAATCTCGACCACATATAAAAATGAAAAGTGCATACAAGTGAAACTTGAACAATTTTCTTTCAATTTCTGGCATCAAATAGGTGCGCGGTGGCACTCCTGCTCGCGCTATTAGGCAAAGCGTAGACCCGTGCACATATTGTCATGTTCAATCATGTAGTTGAATCCCGGTGCCGCCAACTTTTTTCAGCAGAATTGAGATAGAAAACAGAATGAATACCGCCACTGGCTCACGATTAGAACATTGTGTACGAATGATCATTATATATATATATATATATATATATATATATATATATATATATAATCAATACAACCTGTGGCAGAGGGTGCATAGCTTTACTCTCCTTGACGAATGGAACCCATCGCGACAGTGGCCGTCCGAAACCAGCCGTCCCCAGCGCGGCCAAAGGTAGGACCAGGCAGTGTGCTAGGTAAGTTGCGATGCTGGCGGCCATTGCTGCGCAGGGTCGGCAGTGCCCTTTCAGGGCCAGCACTGCAGCGATGACATGGTGACATTGCTAATGCCTGCCGTTTACCGTTTCTCCGGGGCTGTTCCGTCGGCGGCAGGGGTAAAAAACCGTAGACACTGTCTCCCTCCAGACTGCGAAGCCAGATTTTGTCTCCTTGACTTTTTCATGAAGCCCATGAACGCAAAATCGCATTGATCAACACTTCTCAACTGAGCTTCGGTCGGATCGCGACAGCATCGTAGTTTTACTTCTCATATCCCTGACCAGATGCCTGTTTTCCTACAACGCTTTCAACACCACGTGGTTGGCGAGGATTTTTTGTATTTACACTGAATTCACCTTGGATATGTACAAAATCGCGCCGACATGGTGTCAGTACAAAATGCCAAATACGCCGCGTACAGTTCAGCACACAACGAAAGCCTGAGAACCCTGCCTAAAGCACTTCAGCACTCGCCGTGAGCTCCAGAACGTTAACCGCGCACGCAAAATTTGATCCAAGAGGGAAGTCACGATGTCAACGCTCCTTTTCTCCTCAACTGCTTGAAAAGACAGGAACGATAAGATTGGGATGCTCTGTGCCGGGCGATCACCGTTCCCGTGAGCATGTGCTTCACGTTGACAGAGCGCCTCACGAAGTCAAACCGGTGATGCTTCTGAACAGCTCTCATGAGATGTTCGGCACCATCAAGCTCAGGACCATTCCATCAAATCCTGAGCTCCTTCGCGGCATTGTCATGCCTCAGCTGCCGGTGCATGGAGAAACCCTCCTTGAGGATGCTGCCCATGGACTCAACCACGCCTTCGACAGGGCTGAGCAGCCACACGCGGATGACTGGACTGACGAAAGGTTCGATCGAGGGCCCACGTTTCCACAAAACTTTCAACAGCTTGGTTGAAGCTAGTGTGTTCCTCACTACGCAGGATGCAAAACCGTACCTCACAAATCACAATCAAGATCTAAGATTAATGAAAGGCATGAAAAACTGTGGAAAACTGAAAACTTTACCATCAGTGCAAAGGTATCGGTTGATGCATGCAACCCTAGAAGAAATCGTCTGTGGTTTATTCATGTGAGGTAAAAGCGTGAAGTGTTTGGAGTATTTTGGTAAGAGACAATGCTCATTGTCACATTTTTCCTTCCCATTTACAGCTTAAAACTATTATCACATTGGTTAATATCTGCTTTGGTACACGATAAATTCCATTGTGTAGGTATTTTGATTGCTGCTCTGTGAGTAACATCACTGGTGTTAGCAAAACAATTTTGTGTATTAGATAGCAATAATATGCCATTTTATGCACAATATCATGAACAGGCCTGAAATAAGGTGAGATGATAAACTGCATATTGCAATAAATTAATCTTGCAGGTTGACGGCGGACCAGCATTATAACGGTAGGCTTTTGCGGGCCGAATCATTAGCTAGACGGGCCTTTGCGTACTGAATTACCAGCTATGCTCTGTTTATCTTAAGAAAGAACGGAATTAAAGTGCTGCCAACGATTTTGCACGTTTTTTTGCGCGTGGGTCATTATTCGAGTGCGCTGTAACCCTAAAATTACCCGCATTATGACCGGCATCACTTTCGCGTTGCGGTAATCTCTTACGCAGTGAAAAGTTTTTATATTGTTTTACTTGTATATTTCATTGTCTTTTTATATCTTTTATATGTTTTAGTACCTACCTACCAATGAATGAAAAATCTAATCGAGCGTCTGGAAGGATTCTCGGGGCACAAAGTAGGGAAGTTGTTTACAATGTGTATCAACATCTTGTCGAAGACCGGGACGTGAAGTTGAAGGCGGGAGACGACGACGCCGTCCGGGAGAGTCCATTATTAATAACAGCAGCTGTAACGGGCGTTGGGAAGACTACAGTCTATCGCATACAACGTGAAACCCAGAATGGTGCCAGACTGAAGTCGTCAAGCCGATCCTGACCAGCTGCAGCAAGACCCAGGGTGGATCTAGATCCGTTCGATGTTTGCGCGATGAGGAGAATGGTACACCAAATGTACATCGACGGAAAACATGTTACTCTGGACACCATCACGGATGCTCTTCACGGACAGCTCGGCGTCACCATGTCTAGATCCACCGCAAGAAAACACCTACTCGCGAACGGATTACCGAAGGATCAACAAGCGCAAGATCCTGATCGAGAAACCTCATATTGCAGCAACGAGATGCCAGTTCTTGCGGGAGATGAGGAAGCTGTGTGAAGAAGTTCGCGATAGCAAAATCATTTATACCGACGAGACGTGGTATAATCAGTACAATATGGAGGACATGGCGTGGCTGGACGGTAGTCAAATCAACGGACGGAAGAACGCCATTGGAAAAGGAAAAGGTTTTATCATAGTCCATGCCGGCTCTTCAGAACACAGGCAGCTAGGCCAAAAGAACACGACGACCCATACCGGCTATTCGATCCTGTCGGGTTTGCGTGGACAAGCGTGGACGATATGAACGTGGCCAATTTCGCGCCGTCAACAGTTTATTAGGTTCACGATCGGTTGTCCAACACGTCGCGTAGTGTTAAGTTCCAAATTGAGTTATTTCTTTCTTTCGCTGACAGAAACGTTATTCTTCATATGGGCAGGAAAGGCCGTCGACTCTTACAAGAGATATAATCCTTCTCACTCCACCAGACCAGGTTCAAAACGCACGGGTCAACAACTTGCAGCCTGGAAAAATTTGCGTAATGCACTACTCTGTTATATCCGCGCTGATATGCAGATCTAGACCGGATAAGACTATGCCGCCGATCTTTCAACGCTCAAACAAGGAAATCGGCGCCCTCACGAACCCATCCAGGCAACGAATGACACTGGTCGCACATGGATGGCCCGCAACATGACGGCGCTACCGCCCAAGCGCAGGGCAGTCTGATAGGCATTGACAGGGTCCGTTTGGAATGTGGCTGGAGTGGAGCAAGGCGGGTGGCCAGCTCCCAACGCAAAAAGCGTTGAGTAGAAAAGTCAAACGGAAATGGTCAAGTGGGACCTAAAGCTCCCAGGAAATAACTTCAGCAAGGATGCACAGTAGTCGAATAATGAAGCAAAAGGGAGCAAAAACCCTGAGGGGTAAAAGTCAGTCATAAAATAGCTCGCAGGCATAAAATCGAATCACAGAAAGTTGGAAAGGAGTAAAAGTCGACAGCGATAGAAGTCCGGGATAGGGATAGAAGGGAACAGTTGAAGGACATTTCAGCAGTGGGTCTGGCTCTGAAGGTTGGTAGAGCTATTGGCACAGCTGTCAGTCAGTATTCCCTGCCCATGATGCATAAATTGAGCAAGTGTTGTGCGAGGATCTGACAATTTGTTTGACCTAAAACTTGCAATGACATTCGGTGTCGAAGGGTGTTCTGGGATCCAGGGTCTTTTTTAAAAGTTTGTCTGATCTTCTAGGATCTTCGATTTTTTGGGAATTTTGTTGAGTGGTCTTCCAAGACCTGGGATCTTTTTAAAACTTTTGCTAGAGGGTTTCCTGAACCTTGGACGTTGTTTGGCATCCAGGCATATGTCTGATCAAAGGTTACTTTATACCCCAGCAGTAAGCTGCTTGATGTGAACTGGTGCCGTTTGTATCTAACAAAAGTCTAGACTTTACGCAGGAACACAGTGATCCTGTCTTTTCTGCTCCGAATTGCATAGTCTACGCACAAATTAGGCATCAACAATGCAATTATATGCTTGTTTACCTCTGGTAATTATTTATAAGGGCCAAAGACACGTAACATATACAACCAGCAGAATGAACGTGGGGGATCACGCCAACCAAACGGTCCATTCGTACCTGAAATGAAAATGTGCTAAGATTTGGAGTAGCTTGTGTGATGACCGGAGCCTTCGGGAAGTGGATTATATGTGTATCAAATGCCTTAACGGTCATGACACGATGGTAATGGGCGGCATTATTTTGCTTAATACACGTGGCAGAAAGGAAGTACATAGTTCAAAATAACTTGATTTTGAACTTTGCACACGTCGATTTACGCAGCTGTGCGATGCACGATTACAGATAAAAATAACTCATGTATATCCAGCGTGAGCAAAGCAGGGAGGTCCGGTAGCACCACGAAGAATGGCAACTGTTTCATTTTTTCGGGGGGGGGGGTTGAAACCAGACACCTACCTGCCAGTAGGCAGTCGCGCACGTAGATAATGAGTTTGTCGCGACCGGTAACATAACAGGATATGGTCTCAGTTGAGGTTGTTTCTTAGTTGGTGTGCTCGACAGCGGAAACACACATGAAGCATATACCAGGTGAGATGGACGATTTATTCGGAAGTGGATGCCGCCTTGTGCTTGTGAACTGGGTGCTGCTGAAGGTTTCTAAGCATCATGAGCAACTATATAATCGTGTACATGCCTTGAACTCGTTTCAACCAGCAGCGATGTTGTACTCTTCGATGTGGTTCATATGTGAAAGATTGGCCCAAGTAATTCGGATACCATTAATAACACCACTAGCTTTGGTGATCGTACAAATTATACCAACAGCAGACAAGCTTTGTTAACAGTATCAAAGCAGCTGGTTGGTGCCAACTGATAACAGCATTGTATGCCGTTTGAAATTAATGAATGGTTTAAATTCAAGACGGATAAACTAATACGCTAAGTCTTAGATAGGAGCGTATTAACCAGCATTGATTTGACCAACTTTTGTAGTAAGCCAGACCCGGTCGGATTGGGTTGAGAGATCTAAAAAGGTGGATTGGTGGGTGGATTGGACCTGAACTGGCCGGACCGGACCAGGCCGGATCCTAAAAATTCCATCCATGGAGTGTCCTAGCGTGACACCTTCATGAGCGACACTGCTTTGCATTGCAAGCGTGTCGGCCGGTGGCATTCAGACTTTGTTGATTTTCTCGCAATTTCCATACACTAGGCCTACGGCCTTGCCCCTGATCACCGTGAGTCGTGTGCTTCCACCAAAGTGGCTGCGCTGAGGCCTCCCGGTGAGCACCAGTCGTTCATAGAGCATGCGTGCGGCTTGACGCCCGAGGTCTCAGCACTGACCTGTGGCTGCCTGCTGGCCGGACGAGCCGTAGAAGACGACATCTGAGAGATCATGCAGGCGCTGGCGACGAACAGCACCACGTTCGTCGTCATGACGAGAAACACTGGTGCGAAGACGAACGCCAGGACCGCTCCGCGGTTGTTCAGCCAGCAGATCTCTCGGCCGAAGCGAGCCCAGAGGCTGTACGGCACGCTGTGTGACCCGTCAGCCAGCACAGCGACCGTCACCAGCGTCGCGCTGGCAGCGCACACGTACAGCGTGTAGAGGATGAACCGCTTCAAATGAGAGCCCCTGGAGACGGTCAGCTCGCTGCTCGTTTTCCTGAAGAACGCAGAAGCCATGCGTATTTACAGAGGTTCTGACTCATCTTCATTGTTCAAAATGTACTCTCATGGTTGCATCAGGAATTATCCTTTTAACTTCAAGCATACCGAAAGGCGGCATAAGCGTTGGAAAGCACAACTTGGCTCTGGTCTGAATACAAATTCAAATTGCTTGTGCATAGCGCTTTTGCTTCTCCTTGAAAAAAAAAATGGCGGAGAAGGTCATCCACACACGCATGATTTAGTATATATTTACAGCGAGAAATTAACCTGTACAGCTAGCTCGTGAGGAAGGATATATCATCGTTCTACACTTTTGTTTGCACTGCACAAATTTGATTTCACACGAAATATCAGCAACTGATCAAGCTAGAAGCATTAAATTTACGGGTTGTATTGGCCTGTATGTGAACTCAGCCGTATCAAAATTTGGGATTCCTAGGTTATGACCTTCGGTTCAAACAAAGTCAAACTCAAGGTTGGTGTCCGAAATGCCCCCGGAAACTTGATACCTGCGTAAGTTAGAGGTCAGTGGTGCTTATTTAAGGTCAGCGATCTTATTTGACCTTCTGCAGGTCATGGTGACCAAAATCATACAAGACTGCTTGGAGTTTTGTATTTAAATAAGCGTTCCAGTTTACGTTAGGAAGCATGTTACTAACCACAAGATTTTTGATTGGGTCATTGTAGGTCGGTGACCTATTCTGACATTAAAGAAGTCCGTGAAGATGTATAATGCGGTTCCTGTTATCTACAGACTCGAAATGAGCACCAGAAACTAATATATACAGCAAGTTCTGGAGTAATAAAACAGGTTGGTTTGACCTTGGTCCGACCTTTATGCCTGACCCTGGGTCAATGGACTTTGCTAATTACATTGTTGCGTTGCCTAAGAGGCTATCTTGGGATGTATGGCTTCGTCTGGCACTCCGTCCTTGCATCAGATTGAACGATTCCCGAGAAATGGTCTTCTCTGAAGTGAAATGTTTTGCCTGACTGACCTACCGTAGGTCAGCGACCTTACAAGGTGCATCTAGATGCTGTTGCCACACGATCCGCTATTCAAGTATCTACACTTTAACAAATGTTGGCGTGACTACGCCGGGTTTTTTTGGAAACCATTCCGAAAAACCTTTTCAAAATCAAATTGAACCCCGAGGGTTTTTTCCGAAATGGTTTCCCAACGGCGCGACGTAGCCGCGCCAAATTTGCCTCAACTGTATTCAATTGAGTAGAGAATCGTGTGGTATTAAAAAATTGGACGTACCCTGTAATGTCATTGACCGAGGGCAGGTCAAAGTCAGGCCATGAATTCAGCGAGGTCAATTTCGAGGGAATCGTTGAAGCTGATGGAACAACGGGGTTTGGACGAAGCATACATCTCGGAGATGCTTTCCTAGGCAACACAACTGAGTGATCGAATTCCTTTAACCTAGGGTCAGATAAAAAGGTCAGACCAAGGTCAAAACGAACCTGTTTGATTACTTTGAGGGTTGCTATGTGGGGTAGTTTCTGATGCTCATTTCGAATTAATTGATGACAGAAACCGCATGGACCGTCTTACATGGACTTCTTATAGGTCAGAATAGGTCACCTACCTAACATGACCCAGATTAGCATTTGGTCTTTAGGAATATACTACCTGGCCTGAACTTAGTCGCTTATTCCAATGCAAAATTCAACAGTCTTCTATGATCTTGGTCACCACAACCTTCGAAAGGTCAAACCATGTTCCTTACCCTGAATGAGCATGTGACCTTTTGCTTAGAACAAGCATCTAGGTTCGGAGGACAATTTGGAGACCATCTCAACGTGTGACCCTATTTGATCTTATTTGACCAGGTCATGACCTAGGCGGCTCAAATTTTTACCTAAGTGAGTTCGTAGAGGCCAACACACAGTGTGGATTTGGTATCACTAGCCCTCTTAGTTTTTGAGATCTTAGGGGCGCCAACATGACCCCCACCCGAGCGAAGGGTTCCCAACTGGCCACCCGGGCGCGTATCAATGCACGTTAACATATCGTTATAAGCTTCCCTGCAGCCCCACGGTCGTCAACAACGAACAGCAACGATGTCCTACGACGGTCGGTGCCCGCCACTCGTCAATTAGTTCATTACTGAGGCATGAGACAGGGGTAGGTAAACAATCACTTACACTTAGCTTAGCCATGCGCCACTTACATCCGCGTACCGCTATACCACTTAACAATATGTTTCCAATCCGGCCGTACTAGTAATTTATTTTTTATACCGGCATAGTTTTGTTTCCATGCAAACCAGAATTTCTTGGACGTGATGTTGAAAACTTGTAGTTATGGTGTGGCGGGATTTTAGTTGCATATTTTTCTACTGCTGAAAGTTGACACATCGTAGATGCAAATTTAAGTTCCAGCGCGGTGGTATGTATTTCATGCATTAAAATCGCGTCCCTTGAGTTAAAATGGTTCTTACCTGCAGACTGCCTGCCTTAAGCGGCTACCTATGCTTGCTGGCGTTAATACTACAGTCCTGAAGGCACCAGCTGACCCAAACCTTCCAGGTCGGTATGTCCAGTGAATCAAGAATTCTCTGCTGGTACTTCGCATACCAATAAGAGAATGCGGAAGTTTCCTAAGATTGGGGCTCATAGACACTTAAAGCCGTCATGCACGGCCGTGAATCTAGTGCTAAATTTATTCGAGTATTAGAGGGGACTGGAGCCTCCAACGTCATCCCCGCCCTCCATAACGCAACAGTTCCCGTATACCTGTCTTTATTGATAACTGTTTGTAAGTGTCGAGGCAGAGGAAACCTCGCAGTTAAAGGAAGTATTTCACATTTCTATGGGGTTTTAAACTCATCTATCTATCTTGAATCACATCCGGTGCAGTCCGCAGCCTTGCCTTGAAAATACCTCAACAAATTCCTCTAGTTTCTGAGCTGCGCACCCGCAAAGATGTGCTGACTATTTCGGGGAGACCATTTCAAGGCTACCCAGGTATCCACGACGCCAAAATCACGTCAATCAAATTCCGTCGTTCCATTAGCCATGCGACGATCCAGGCAAAGCAGGATATAATTGTCGAGGCAATTATATCTGGCGTTCGTGAGCACGACCTCTAGATATATCGGCCGTCAATTCGCTCTCAGTCAATGCTGTGCAAAATACGATGACGCAATCAAACAATGGCGCATTGAGGAGTACGCTTACCAAACACAGAAATCATGTTTTCTGGAGCAGCCTTCTCCACTTACAAGTGTACCAATAGTTATGAGTCAGCTTCTTTCATTATATGTGGCGGTTGCTTCAACATGCTCAAATGTGGAACATTTTTTCATCAGCACCTACACTTATGCACGCTGATATCGTAGTTTACTTGCACACGTATTTCACAGCTGATGTAAGGTCTCCACGGCCACTAAGCTCTGAGGGAGAATTTTACAACTGACTGCGGCCTTCAGGTAACAGGTGGTGCATCTGAGAGACACTCGGATTGGTGCATGTTTTGCACTCGATAGCCATTTGTCATATCAATTGATGTGGAGCCAATCGCACTTTATAATTATTGCCCTTTGCTGGTCCTGGCATATCGTTTTGGGATGGAGAAAGATGCTACCCCAATTATCGCCATGCAACACGAAAGGGTGCACGTCAATGTTTCTTATAGACATGGTAGTTACCATCCACACGCCCCTTCCATTCCTGCTTTCGTATATATCATTTTACATGCCTCCCGAATCTGGATTTAAACCAAACTGAGACAATTTTTGGGTGTCAATAGATCAACTGATCGCGTTTTTAGCGCGGATTGGATCAGAAGCGGATTGTGAGGCATTTTACATGCGTGGCGCGAAAAGGCTGATGCAGCTAAGGTCTCCGCACGAGCGCCAGTCTTTTCGTCATTTAGCGTAAAGCGATTTTTTTGTTTCTTTTTTTTTACCAGCCGGTAGAGTGGACGCGGATCATGCGTTCATGCCCTGGTGTCGTATGCCATGCTCTCATGCTCCCCAATATTACTCACCTGAGGGTGTTGAAGACGTCGATCGCCATAACATTGACCCAGAATAGCGCTGCTGCGAAGGCGCTGAAAGCAACAATGGCCAGCAGAACACAGCCGTCGGTGCCGTAATCCTGCCACAATGCCGCCATGGAGCAGAGGTAGCCGATGAGCAGGCAGACGCACAAGGACGTCACACATTTTCCGGGCAGGTTCCGTGTTTCGGGCACGGCACAGAACGCCGCCAGATGCAGCAGGAGGCACAACACGGACGCTGTACGACATGCCACCAAGGCGTAAGAAAAGGCGGTTTGGAAGCTTTTAAGTTGGAAACCCGGGTCACAAAAGGTTAGCTGTCCGTCACTGAGCTCGTAATAGCCGCGATCCAAGAACAGGTCATACGCCGGCACGTACGCGACGTCTTTGTCGCTGACCTGAAACTGGTACTCGTTTACGGTAACCTTGGGGCAGGTCTGGGAGCCGGTGCCGTTGGCGACGCCAGAGGAAACTGAGACTTCCCTGCAGATCTTGAAGAAGGGGTCCCAGAGTCGGGTGCCGGTACAGACCCTGGCTGCTCCCACTGCGTTCATGCCCGACCGGGTGGTGATGTCGAGAAGAAAGACTGATGAATGCATGCGAGGACGCCTTCCCTCAGCAAAATTGTTGGTGACCGGCCAGTACGTAATGTACTGTTGTGGTACATAGTTGCACAGGGCGCAGTGCGCGTTGCGGTACCTGATTCTGCCGTGATACATGTAGGCACTGTACGCGGTGCACATTAGGGCGAGTTCTAGGTTGGTCCAGTTAGCCGCACAGCTGGAAATCTTGGGTTGACAGTTCCGCATCAAATGTTCTTTGTCGTTATTGCCCGAATGTAGGGAAATTACGCACGCATGAAACGTTCCGTTGTTTTCGTCCATTAACTGCAATCCCCACTCTCCAGCAGGGTTCTGCAGTAAGTTCTCTTCAATGAAGGTATCAGTGATATTGAGGGCGTCCTGGTGTTCTTTGGTCAGTGTCGGACAGGATATCGCCGGCGTCCAAAACACAGACCCTGCTAAGTCACCGTGGCATATGGCGCAGTAATAGTTGCTGTAGGTCATCCCGCTGGTGGGGCTTGTAACCGGTAAAGCCGCGAACGGATCCTCGGCGAACGCCGCGTTGCGAGCACACAGGCTTCGCACCGAGGTGTCCCGCCACTGGACCGGACACCGGGACACCATGTACACATACCCGAAATCTGGGGATCGCCTGCATGCCAAGTCGTTGCGGGGCAGGGCCTGTGGGCGCACATCCAGGCAACAATCTCCGTACAGCGCGCACTCCTCGTCGCAGGAGCACTCTGCGAGCTCCCGTATTACGGGTGGGCATTTGTGCATCTCACTGCGCCACAGGCTGAGTGAGGCCAAGCTTGCGTCGATTATTGTCACGAGCTGGGCGTGCGCACGTGCCGCTGCCCGAAGGTTGGGCGGGGCGGCTACGATCGGCGCCGCCAGCAGGAGAAGCGCGGCCGCCGCCAGCATCGCCGCAACGACTGTGGCCGCGGCGGAGGGGTGACGCGCGCCCGTCCTCTGGGTTGGCAGAATGGCCTGCCCACGCCTCCGCTTCGCTGCCCTCGCCGCCGGAGCCAGACGCCGGATCACTGTGAAGGTAGGTCAAGTTTCAGCCCGGCGGCGGTTGGTCGGCCTCGCTATGTGACCTCGGCGCTGACCACCGTAACGTAACGATAGGTGGCAGAAACTAGGCCACGGGGCATCTCTTTAATGCGTCACCGGTTTGTAACCCGTTGCGGGGCCAAGCGTCAGCCCCCGCCGCAGGCCTTCTGACGTGGCTGTCAGGTCAGTTAGGCACCCGTTATCACGACCGGTGCTTGGAAGAGGACATTGGGTCATATACAAGGGGCCCCCGAACGGCTCGTAACGCACTGGAGGTGAGCTACGCGGCGTGCGCACCGTCAAGCTTCTAACCATGGAGGCATATAGGAGGAGAAACAGACGGAGTGCCATGGCAGAATGCATTGTACTTGTCGACCACCGATTGGCCTGACTCGCCCGTCCACTGAGAGCGTCGGGCTCAGCCAGTGTATAATTACCCTCCTTTGGAAACCCCCAACCGAAAAATGGCCTAATCTCCCAGGATCATGGAACTCACCTCCACCACTGGGTCACGAAGAGTCCAGCACCGTTCAGTTTGCCTAGATCAACATGCTTGATATAAACAATACAGGCTTTGGAGCTTCTGGAGTTCTTTGCTGACAGTTATCGACTTTCGATATGCCAAGAGGTACCGAATAAACGTCGTTAGCAAGCAAAGTTACGCTTCACGCTCTGCTGCTGATAAAAGCTGAACAATTGTCATCATTCCACAGCACCTGGCATGCAAACGGAAACGGTAAAACGAAGTCAAGCACTAACTTTCAGGATAATGCCATACCTACGTAACCTGTTCAGTGCGTTTGCGGGAAAGATTATGCATAGAGAAAAGACGTTACAGGTGGTTTTATCTCCCGTAGTATATCTCTCTCGTAGATAGAGAAGAGAACATGTTTTTTTTTGGGGGGGAGCTACGTGCCTTAAAGAAGACGAATATCAGAAGTGATATTCGTGTCAATTGTTCGAGGCATTGTTGTTCGATAAGCAACTGATAGAAAGCCCTAAGCCAGCCCTGGTCCAAACTGATGACTTGTCCACATACTCTATTACAAACAAAATCCAGTGCATAGATTTTACTAGGTGCCGGAAATGTACAAGATGTGTAATCATGTCGTAGAACTTAAGTTTCCATTAAACGTTTGACAGGCTCTCGTTTGTGAAAACATGAAGCAGATGCTACGATAGTAAAAACATTGGAGTTCGAATTAGTGTTATGTCATAATTTTCCCACGATTGTAAAGAGCGTGAATGCTGCATTACACTTGAAAGCATGCATCACTTTTCAGCAAACAGTCATCATGTTCTAAAGGAAACTCATACGAAAACCTGAACCTGCCCGAACAGTTCTTATTCCGGTAGATAAGACACGCCACTGCTGGCGTAAATCTGCTGCAAAGCTACCAAATTCGACAAGTTTTCTTACCGTACTGTCAGGCAATCGCTGCTGTACACACACAATTGACAAATATAATAAATATGTATTAAACGGCGAAGTGGTACGCGTGGAGAAGTACGTGACGTTGACATATCAGCGAAGTGGAGCAGGACAAGAACGAGTCAGGGAGACGCAAAACAAAAAACAAGTTGACAGGCATTGGGAATCATCTTTAAGAAAGCAACATACTGCGGAAGAAATCTGGCTTTTTGGGCATGGGCGTAATCACGACTCTGAGCTCGTGGGGACAATCGGGATTGAAAGACTGAGACTGGAATGTAAAGGAGACTACCTGTAGTGATAATGCCATTTTGAATTGGAAGTTTGCAATAACATAGACATTCTACAGACAACATTGGCGGATTACACGCATGGGCATACAGTAAATAAAGAAGGGATACAAATCATGTTTTTCGTCCCCCAATCTCCATGGAAGTCTCGCCATCACTGGGCGTGCCATGACAGCCAGAAGACAGGAAATGGAGGATAGGTGGCAATAGGACAGAACAGGACATGTTTGCGGCCGGGGCAGGATGAGAGAGGACAAGTTAGAACAGGATTGAGGAGAAGATAATAGCACAGGGTAGGAAAGGACAGGGCAAAACCTTGAAACGCATGAAACAGCAGTCGTCATCGGGACTTAATGTCGCGCTCAACTGCTGAGGCCGTGACGTCGCTTGCTTCTCACCCGGGCAGGAAGGGAGGGCACCGCGAGAAATTGAACGCTGTACCTCTGGTTTCCCAAGCGTGTAGTGGTTGACGCAAACACTCAAGTACCAGTACACTGATCCAATGCACTATCGGCACCCTGGGTGTAGAGCAACAAGGAAATTAAGCTAGGACAGTTATGGAGGTGGCATGAAGGGACATGACAGAAAAGAAGAGGGTGGCGGATTACAGCACACAATGACGATAGGCAAAAAGAAAATTGTGAAAATAAATTGCGAGAGATGTTCCTTTCATCCTCACACCAATTACAGTAATAACTTCGGCTACTGCACTCCCCCCCCCCTCCCCTCCACACCTTGCCTCTTCTTTCCACGCCGCATTGGCTAGTGTCGTGATCGCTCCACCTACTACGCCCCTGTGTCCCCTGAATGTGGGACACTCCGCGGCGATCTACGGCCAACGCGGGCGGTGGGCGGCAATCGACGATGGTGTTCGATGGCAAACGGACGGGTGGTGTCGCATCGACCCCCGCTGTAAGTGTGCTTTACTTAAAACGGCGAATCAGGGCGAGGGTTATTTAGTTACCTGCGTTCTCTCTTCGAGGCCACCGGCCATGCTTATGTGCACTGAGTACGCACACAATAAACTAGTAAGCAGGCTCGAAGTAAGCCTTCTATGCACTAAGGAGATGAACTGCTGCCTTGCAACGTCCCTAATTTAAGTAACTCTGCTTTTTAACAATAGGATCGCAATGCGCCAGTATTTGTGGATTAGCGATAATTTTCATTGCTTAAGGCCTTGCACACAAACGTAAATATCCCACATGGTTAAACGTCATGTAAACTGCAATCACACGCTTTGACATTTCTCTGGTAGGACTGTCATAACCTAAACTCTTCGTGACATTTGCAAACTGATGGAGGGAGAGGGAGCGGAAGGGAACCATGGCCGCTAATACGATACAGATAACACATTCTTCCTGGTTCTGGAATCAGGAACCAGGAACCAGCTACCGGGAAGAAAACTTGACTGCTGACTGACTGCTGCATTACACCGTGAATATGGATAGTCTGACAGCAAATAACTCATCATATCCAGTAAGGGACTGGCACCAAACTCTTTGGCTGACCCAGGCTTAAGCGCAAGGCCACCCAATTATGGAGCAGGCCGCTACCGACGGCGCTGTTAAGACCGGGTGGCGCACGGAAGTGGAAAATGTACGGTCCATCGTGCATGAAGACGTTGACCCGGCGCGCCATGGGAGTTTGGCCCCTCTGGACAAAGGAGATCCCTCAGTACAACACAAAGAAGCTTTTGTTCTTTTGGTGCCAGACTGATCGAAATCGGCATGACAGTATTCGATGTACAGCCCTCCGAAGACGATGCCTTTAAAGACAATCCGCTGGTAGGAAAAGTGCCCCGCGGAGTACTTCTGGCGTCTAGTGGAATAGACGGTAGTTGTTCTTAGAAAGAAAACAAATATTTAAAAGGTTTGAAGGTTTTGGAGATCATCAAAGTGCTGGGATAAAAGGCCTGATACGTACTTTTGATATCCCCAGATCTCCTTAGCCTCTTAGACAAACGTTGGTGGCGTCGCTCTATCACAGAAAGCTAGGCAAACAAATACGACTCCAATTTGGTTCTTCTCAAACATTTAATAATTGTGGAGAAGATTAGACCTATCAAAACGGCATTCCAATCGTTGTTATGGGCACCATATGGCCAAGAAGTCCGCGTGCTTCAAATCCCATATCACCACCACTCCTCGCCGAATTGTTTTGATACAGAAGGAAGAGACAATTTCGATTAAAAAAGCAAGTCACTTTCCCCAATGCGTCGGGAGCGTCTGAGATATTATCACTTTTGCACTTTGTCTTCGATAATAGCGACAGAGCTCAAAATGCTTTCGTAATTGCAACCACAGTCCAACAGTATGAGTACCATGACGTCGCACTCAATGCCCGTAAATCCCTTATGCACGCCGGAATTTGGCGGAACTTTTGGCGGTACCATGAAGGGTCAAGTCCTAAAAATTGAGCATCGAACGAAAAAGCTACGACATAGGTTTTACATAACTCGGTCAGAACCTCCCAAGACGTGTTTTAATTCTTCTCCTTCCAGAACAAAAAACCTGCGTTCCAAATGAAGCACTGAGCTAAACATATCACGCAGAACTTAAGTATTACAACTTCCATATTCCAGTTCAGCTCTAAGGCTTTGCACGAAAGCTACTCAAGTCGTGGTAGCATTACCCACACTCGTTCTCCATAGGACCTGCGCTAAGTCCAAAACATCAGTTTTAACACAATTTTCTGCATGGCTCAGCATTTTGTTTTG